GTGCAGGATGATAAATCAAATTAAGCGTAGGATTCCTATGAGAATCAGATTTCGCCACAAACTTTGGATCGAGCCTTCTCTGTCGTTTGGATTGGCTTTTTATTAGTATTATGCGAGAGGGATGAGAGAAGCGAATCGAAGATGATCGCACACGTGTAGCGTTTCTGGCGACTTAAATAAATTCTACGTAATATTCTTTTTTGATTACTTTACTAATTGCTAAGCGACTGGCAAACAGATCATAATAGCCTAGAAACGTCGAATGATTTTTTTTATTATTCACCACTAAAATATTCAAGAAATACCAGGTGGCTTTTAAATTTATAATTCGGTTCGATTTTGGTTGGGGTCGGTTCGATAATTCAAGCCAGCCCTAGAAAGTGGAAACAGGAATGGTTAACTTAATTTGATAGTTGAATATACAACACAAAGTTTCTCTAATTATCTTTGTTATCAAGACATGGCTGAAAGGTTTTGTTTGATGTGTTGTCTTCTTTGGAGCCAAATCGGAAGATGACTCCATTCTTCTTCATGAAATCATGTGTCGTGTGATCCACCTCCTGAAGGAGCATAATCAAATGTTAATAGAATGTCACTGAACTACAATTCGTTCACAAATTTTAAAATAAAACCTCACTCACATTTGTGTTGCTGAGCTCTAGGTTGTAGAAATCCATGGACTTGTCTTTGAACAACGGTCCAGCATGCCATGTACCGCGGTTCAGTTTAACAAACTTTGGTCCCGAGACCTTGAAAACGCGAACCTCTTCAACCGCGGGAGGAGCGTACAAGTGACCAGACGCTCCTGATTCTACATTATCAGCTCTTCTTCCTCCATCTTCAATAAGAGATGCCTTAGCCACTCCAAGATACCAAACATGACCTCCTATTGATCCTAGACACTGTGTCACGTTTGCGTGATGTGTGATCGTGGAGAAGCCAAAGGATCGATCTTGAAGCCTCATGATGTAGAAACTAAGAGTAACAAGGAAACTGTGATTGATTATAAAACAACAACACAAAAATCTGAAACTAGAGAATGTAATAGCATTAATCTTCATGACTTGTAATAGTTTTTCTGATTTGGAACTGATCAACACAACAATTTGGTACCAATTATCGCATAAAGAGGATGAATTTTAACAATAATCAAACGAATTCGATTAGAATAAGAACATATTTTACTAAGAATCGTCGGAATTAACGAAATTTTGAGGAAGTTTGGAAAAGAGTACCGTGGGGTTCCTCTGGAGAGATCCAATTGAGCGTCGTTGGGACCGAAGTGGTCACCATCAAGAGAGGCTTCGATGATTTGACCATAATCTCTAAAGCTCTCAGAAGTAGCTTCGATCGGAATCAGATTCACTTCCACCGGAGATTCCGCCATCGCTGTTTTCACCACAAGAAAATGAAGACACGAGCTTCTTCGGGTTTTCTTTTTTATCCACGCATAAGTTTTAAAATCAATCAGTAAACACCGAATAAATTAGGTTTTATTGTCAACTTCAAAAGTATATATGGTTAAAATGAAACGAATGAGAAAGTAAGGGGTCATTTTGTATTTTCGGGATTTTTAGGGCATCATCGGACAAACGTTTGTTTATACT